AATTCAAAGTCAACTTCTTAGGGATCTTATTAGGCACCTCTGCAGAATCTCTTTACCTTTATCATATAGTGTAGCCCAATCACAGGAGTGGCATCACATCATATTAACAAGTCCCACTCACAGTCGAGGGGAAGGGATTATAGGACATGAGCAACAGGGGTTGAGAATCGAGGTTTACCCAGAATTCTGCCTACCAGATGCCTTGTTTGGCAAGCAGAATGTTGTCCTTGGTACTTCTCAAAGAGGACCAGGTTTAATGTCAGCTAAAATTCAGTTTTAGGGGCAACTTAATGTCTGAGAGTCAGTGCTCTTTTCTTTTTCCACATTAATAATATTAAAAACATAATTTTTGACTTCTAAAAAATTAGTTGTTTGCTGCCATCCCAAGTTCATGATCTGGTCCTTCATCTTTACATTTTTCAACTACTTTAATAATGCTACATGTCTAGTATGTCATTGTTTAGAAAGTGCCTTAAAAAGTCAACAGGCTGTATAATAATGTATTTAAGTAGTCATTAAAATGATGCTTCAAAGGCCAGGCATGGTGGCTCACTCCTGTAATCCCAGCACTTTGGGAGGCCATAAAGGGAGAATTGCTTAAGCCTGGAGTTCAAGACCAGCCCGGGCAAAAAAAGTGAAAGTTTGTCTCTACTAAAAAAAAAAAAAAATTAGCTAAGCAAGATGGCATGTGCCTGTAGTCTAGTAGCTGAGGCTGAAGGATCACCTGACCCCTGCCATGAGCCATGATTGTGCCACTGTACTCCAGCCTCAGTGACAGAGTGAGAGTCCAACTCAAAAAGTAAAATGATGCTTTAGAAAGCAATTTATTACATGAAGAAAATTTGAAAAATGTTCTGAAGTGAGAAACAGGTTGCAAAATTGTGTATACTATAAGTCTATTTTTATTACTACTTGAGTAGGTAGAAAGCAAAAATAGAAGGAGGGAGGAAGGAAGGAAGGAAGGAGGGAGGGAGGGCGGGAAGGAAGACATTAACAGCAGTTGTGTGGATTTTTTGTTTTGTTTTGCTTAATTTTATTAAAAATTGCTTATTCATCAGAATTGCTTATGTCATAAAAATATAAAATTGTGGCTGGGCTCAGTGGCTCAGCCTGTAATCCCGCGCCTTTGGGAGGCTGAGATGAGTGGATTGCCTGAGCACGCGGGTTCAAGACCCACCTGTGCAGTGAGACCTCATCTCTACAATAAATCAAAAAATTAGCCGGGCATGGTAGCGCATGCCTGCAATTCCGGCTACTTGGAAGGCTGAGGTGGAAGGGTGGCCGGAGCCCAGCAGGTCGAGGCTGCGGTGGCCGGGAGCGGCTACTGCACTCCAGTCTGGGTGACAGAGTGAGACTCCAACTCAA